AGAGGAGCGATGGTCCTCCGAGGATCTGGTCCCTGGAGGGTTTGCCACCACTGTTATCCTCAGACTGCCCGTGCTACTGCCTGAAGAAGCCCCCGCTTGACTGCCGCCATGACGAGAACTAGATCGAGGCAGAGGCAACGGAGCTCCGCCCCTTTGAGGAAACAGAGCTTGGCCCTCGACTCCGAGATGATCATATTCCCACAATGAGAACATGACTCATCCACAAACGCCACCTCAGCGTGTTTAATGCCCAGACACTTGAGGCAGCGATCGTGACAATCACCCAGCGCCAGGTAATGACCGCATCCAGAAATACCCGGAAATGTACGTTGTCTATAGCAAGACCCACATCGTCTTTACAAAGACGTAACGTCAAGTTTACCAAGAAACGTAGTCTTTAAACACTCTTTTGCCTTAATCTTTTATTAAGCTTCATAGATGAGTAGGTGGAGGGGATCTTTGGGGGGTGTTCTAAGCATCAGCATTCCCTAACCTGCTTTAGAGAATTACAGCTTGTGCCAGTATATCGAGCCTGAATTATTCAAAACGCTTTCTAAGCATTGCACAGAACTAAGTCTGACTGAGAGCTAAAAATAAACATGCGATCCTTTGAATTGCTTAAATGTTCCACATTTGAATTGTTAAGAAGTTACTAATTTATTTGTTTGGAGCATGATTTAAATGTAGTCTAACCGAGTAAAGTTTAAATAATAAATAATACAATTCATAAACGACATAAATAGTTTAAGGCACACTGAAAAATGGATTAATTTAGTAGCCTTAGATATAAAATATCAAACCAAGTGGCATCTGCAAACAAATTATGCTAGAGCTCTTCTCAGAATTGTTTTTTCTTAGGCATTTTAAAATGATTCTGATCGAGTGTAAACAGGTGTCAAAGTAACAAAAGATCTTCACATTACCATTTTGCACAAAGTTTGATAAAGTACATTTATTTTTATTATTTATTTATTAAAAATAATTTTTGTTAATTTTAAAAATAATATTATAATATAGTATATCCCTATGTAGGACAAGCTGTTTGAAGAAGATATATATTCTAATAATTTATATTATATTAACAGTTTTATCTTTTTTGTGAAATATTTGTTTGTACTATTTAAAAAAATTTTTTTTATTAAATTCCATTTGGATTCTATTATTTCGGTATCTGATGCATTCTTAAATGTGACTTAATATACTTAATGTAATACGCTGTTAAATAGTGCTAATATACTTTTAAGGTTCTTTTATAAAAATGTGTTATTAAGTAACTCATACTCATAACTCATTATGCCATAATTCCGCCATACAGCAGAATTGATTTCCTTTAAATGCATCAGAGAACAAATTCTGGAGGACTTTTTTTAGGACTTTTTGAGAAGAAACAAATGAAAGAGGGAGGGTAAGAGAGCACCGTCTGAAACTGTACAGTTATAGTTATCTGTCCAGAGGCCATTCTTGGTGCAAATGTCTCTTTAGTGCAACTTTTATTCACTGTTAGGGAAAGTTACTTTTAAAAGCAATGCATTTCAATATTGTGTTACTCCCTAAACATTATTAGTTACTGTTTATGGAAAGTGATGTGTTATGTTACTTTTGCGTTACTTTTTAAATCTATTTAAGTATATCATAAATTGATAGAATGCACACGTCACAGACGTCTCAGACTCTCTATTAATGCTCAAGGACACTTCTGTGCTTCCGTCAAGGTTTGCATTGGCACTCTTTTGCCTTAATCTTTTATTAAGCTTCATAGATGAGTAGGTGGAGGGGATCTTTGGGGGGTGTTCTAAGCATCAGCATTCCCTAACCTGCTTTAGAGAATTACAGCTTGTGCCAGTATATCGAGCCTGAATTATTCAAAACGCTTTCTAAGCATTGCACAGAACTAAGTCTGACTGAGAGCTAAAAATAAACATGCGATCCTTTGAATTGCTTAAATGTTCCACATTTGAATTGTTAAGAAGTTACTAATTTATTTGTTTGGAGCATGATTTAAATGTAGTCTAACCGAGTAAAGTTTAAATAATAAATAATACAATTCATAAACGACATAAATAGTTTAAGGCACACTGAAAAATGGATTAATTTATTAGCCTTAGATATAAAATATCAAACCAAGTGGCATCTGCAAACAAATTATGCTAGAGCTCTTCTCAGAATTGTTTTTTCTTAGGCATTTTAAAATGATTCTGATCGAGTGTAAACAGGTGTCAAAGTAACAAAAGATCTTCACATTACCATTTTGCACAAAGTTTGATAAAGTACATTTATTTTTATTATTTATTTATTAAAAATAATTTTTGTTAATTTTAAAAATAATATTATAATATAGTATATCCCTATGTAGGACAAGCTGTTTGAAGAAGATATATATTCTAATAATTTATATTATATTAACAGTTTTATCTTTTTTGTGAAATATTTGTTTGTACTATTTAAAAAAATTTTTTTTATTAAATTCCATTTGGATTCTATTATTTCGGTATCTGATGCATTCTTAAATGTGACTTAATATACTTAATGTAATACGCTGTTAAATAGTGCTAATATACTTTTAAGGTTCTTTTATAAAAATGTGTTATTAAGTAACTCATACTCATAACTCATTATGCCATAATTCCGCCATACAGCAGAATTGATTTCCTTTAAATGCATCAGAGAACAAATTCTGGAGGACTTTTTTTAGGACTTTTTGAGAAGAAACAAATGAAAGAGGGAGGGTAAGAGAGCACCGTCTGAAACTGTACAACACACACATGCACACGCACACGCACACGCACACGCACACACACACACACACACACACTGATGTCCTGTCAGGTTGGACCTTCGCTGTTTGTGTTGTGTCAAAGAGGAATATCAGGTCCCTGCTGAATTCCAAATTGATCTGTCAGGATGCTTGGGCCTAGTTTTCCCACCCCCTCCTCTCTGCTGAAGAGTCATCTTGGCACTTTTGTGAGTCTCAGGCCTCTCCCTATCTGTCAGCAGAGAGAAATCCCAGTTAGAGGCCACCGGCTGCAGTGTTCAGCACTTTCTCTGTGACCTTGGCACAAGGGCCACCGCAGTTTCAGCAGGGACCGGACCTCTGCATAACAGAGCGATGCTGTGTGCAGGGCACCGGCCCGAGAGGAAGCCTCTGTCATTGTGTCAGCATGACTGAAGCTGGACAGGTAGAATTATGGTGCCCGGATCAAATTTAAGCACTGTGCTGCTGAACCAGTGAAAAAAATACATTCAAGCATTTCAACTAACTGACCTGATACGAAGTTGATTCATGGGGAAGATGACAGGGACCTCAATCCTTGAGGAGAATGGCACTTTTTTGCTGATGCATTACACTAAAATTCTAATTCTATCATAAAGGAAGCAATGCAAATCACACAGCTTTTTAGTCATGAATTCCATAATTTATTTTCATCTCACATAGTTGCTAACATCATTTTTTTTTTTAGAAATAGAAGCACCAGGGGAAGTGAATCTCAACCCCTTATTCACCGATTTCTGATCAACTGTGCTTTATATGTACTGTAAATGCAATGTCATACTTTTCATGAATGTAAAATATGGATGGATGAATTTTTTTTTTCACTCTTCCATTCCCAAACATCTCACATTAAAGGGATCGGACATCCTTTAAAACAGTCCACGCAAAGAGTTCATGGAATTCATATCTCATGATAAGGATTACAATATACTATAATATATATATATATATATCTATGTACACATATGGCACTTGAATACATAAAAGCAATATATCTGTTTTCCACAAATGAAAGCAATGGCCGCTTTGGTGTCAAAAATAAATAAATAAATACAATACATACATAAATAAATACAAAAGATAGACAGTTAAGCATTATGCAGCATTGGCCAGTTCACCGGCTACTGATCTGCAAGTCAGCTTAAATATAACGGAATGCTAACTTACATTAAGGTCAGTGGTGCAAGCACAGGCAACCAAATCATTAAAGATGCCAACCTATCTAAGCCAGAAGAGAGATTCATATAGTACAGATAAACATATGTGAACTGCGGTCTAACTAGTTGTGGTGAGTAAACTGAAACTATCACATGTGCGAGCTAAAACCAGAATGAGAATACAATATAATGAAACAAAAGACCTTCACAGCACAATACAGGTTCGATTTGGCTTCTTTAAATCCATATTTAGTGCAAAACATATTTCGGGTTCAGCTGATCGTATGAACGAAAAAACCAATGTCGAAAACTCATTGCAAGCTTTCCGTTCTGACCAATAAAAAAGTTGCATCAGTGCCCTTCAGTAACTGATAAGAAACAAACGTTTGGTCCGTTAGTTCTGGTTGTCCATAACAGACAAACAAAATCCATCTACCCCACCATGAAACAGGTGAGATGAACAGTTCATAACATAACCTTTCTTGTATATAATTGAATGCAACCTGGTCCTGGGGTCCTCCAGAAATGCATTTTGGATGCTATTGGGACCCAAATATGAATATTCTGTCATGACTTACTCACCCTAATGTTGTTCTGTAGACCACAAATGAAGATATTTTTAACAAAAAAATCAATGGGGTCCAGTTTTATCCCATTGATTTTCATTGCATGGACCAAAACATTGTTCAAAATATCTTCTTTTGTGTTCCACAGAAGAAAGAAAGTCATATAGATTTGGTACGACATGAGGTCGAGTATGACAGAATATTTCATTTTTGAGTGAGCTATTAGTTTAGAATAGAGGCTCCAAGACTTCAACTGTGTGTTAACTTCAAAATGTGCATCCTGAGGTCTTCCAGGATTGAGCACCTCTGCTCTGATGAACTACTGATGAAGGAGCATTAGACATAGGCAGAGTCACTCGACTGGGTGCGGCCGAAATTCGGCATGCTCATCCGCGGTAAGTCCTTCAATATACTATAATATATATATATATATATCTATGTACACATATGGCACTTGAATACATAAAAGCAATATATCTGTTTTCCACAAATGAAAGCAATGGCCGCTTTGGTGTCAAAAATAAATAAATAAATACAATACATACATAAATAAATAAATAAATACAAAAGATAGACAGTTAAGCATTATGCAGCATTGGCCAGTTCACCGGCTACTGATCTGCAAGTCAGCTTAAATATAACGGAACGCTAACTTACATTAAGGTCAGTGGTGCAAGCACAGGCAACCAAATCATTAAAGATGCCAACCTATCTAAGCCAGAAGAGAGATTCATATAGTACAGATAAACATATGTGAACTGCGGTCTAACTAGTTGTGGTGAGTAAACTGAAACTATCACATGTGCGAGCTAAAACCAGAATGAGAATACAATATAATGAAACAAAAGACCTTCACAGCACAATACAGGTTCGATTTGGCTTCTTTAAATCCATATTTAGTGCAAAACATATTTCGGGTTCAGCTGATCGTATGAACGAAAAAACCAATGTCGAAAACTCATTGCAAGCTTTCCGTTCTGACCAATAAAAAAGTTGCATCAGTGCCCTTCAGTAACTGATAAGAAACAAACGTTTGGTCCGTTAGTTCTGGTTGTCCATAACAGACAAACAAAATCCATCTACCCCACCATGAAACAGGTGAGATGAACAGTTCATAACATAACCTTTCTTGTATATAATTGAATGCAACCTGGTCCTGGGGTCCTCCAGAAATGCATTTTGGATGCTATTGGGACCCAAATATGAATATTCTGTCATGACTTACTCACCCTAATGTTGTTCTGTAGACCACAAATGAAGATATTTTGAACAAAAAAATCAATGGGGTCCAGTTTTATCCCATTGATTTTCACTGCATGGACCAAAACATTGTTCAAAATATCTTCTTTTGTGTTCCACAGAAGAAAGAAAGTCATATAGATTTGGTACGACATGAGGTCGAGTATGACAGAATATTTCATTTTTGAGTGAGCTATTAGTTTAGAATAGAGGCTCCAAGACTTCAACTGTGTGTTAACTTCAAAATGTGCATCCTGAGGTCTTCCAGGATTGAGCACCTCTGCTCTGATGAACTACTGATGAAGGAGCATTAGACATAGGCAGAGTCACTCGACTGGGTGCGGCCGAAATTCGGCATGCTCATCCGCGGTAAGTCCTTGTTTCTGATCTCGTATATGGACTTCCTCCTGGCCTGAACCCCCCTCACCGCCGTTTTAATTTTCCTCCAGCCCAGGTGATTGAGTTCTGCAAGGTTGAGCACCACGCAAATCCCACTGACGGCAAACATGAAGACGAGGAACACGGTTTTCTCAGTGGGTCTCGAAACGTAGCATTCGACGTCTTTGATGCAAGGGTAGCGATCGCACTCGTACACGGCAGGAACGTTGAATCCGTACAAGAAATACTGCCCCACCAAGAAACCGATCTCCAGCGCGTTCCTGAAAACCACCTGAATGATGTAAAACCTTGAGATGCCCTCTTGTCTTCTCATTTTAGATTTGGTAGTTCTCCTGGCTGAACTGGGGATCTCTTTCACTTCCAAACAGTCGGGCTCAGATTCTTTGGTGGAGTTTTC